ACGAAACAGGATGGAAATGCCAGGGGGGACCTGAGTCAAGCAATATAGAGTATAAGTGCATATCACAATAGCACATAGATATACACAACTGTTACTTGTAAACCACAAATAAAAATAGAACAAGAAAGGAAAAGACCTTGGCTTTTCATATTTTTAAGCACTTATAAGGAATTATTACTGGGGCTGGCGATACGGCTCAGTGGTTAAGAGCACTTGCTGCCCTTCTAGAGGACCTGCCTTCAATTCCCTACACCAAAATGGTAGCTCACAACTGCTTATAACCCCAGTGCAAAGGGATATGATGCAGCTTCTGACCTCTGTGGGCTCCTGCACACATGTAGTGCACAAACATATACTCAGACATGTTCACATGTAGACTTCCGTGGGTGTGGGTCTCTGGTGAACAGAGAAAAAGGCAAGAGGTGAAACGGGATGCGGGATGTCCTCTTTTTTTAATCTTCCATTCCTTCTCCCTGGAATGGTTTTGTCTAAGATCTATACCTGTCTCAGATCTCTCTGAACAACGTTTTTAAATAACAGTTAAAACCAGAGAGGTTTCCACTGACCATATATTCAGCGACAGCTGTTTTTCCATTGCAGTTCCTCCCTCAGGAAGCTAATTTACTGTGTGCCTCCCCAGTGAGAATGTGCACTTTCTGAGGACAGGCTGCCTTGCCTATCCCTTAGTGCTGAACGCACTGCCTGGGAGATAACAATTGTTTCTGCAGAAGTTCTCGAATGAATGAACAAAGTTCTAGGCCTGGAAGTTCTTTGAAATGCCTATATTTCCCATGACACTTGTCATGTTTCTCCTTTGCTCTAGTTAGTAAACAGGAGTTTTGTGGGCTTTCTGACTTCAGTATAGATGTCCACAGAGACAGGGGTCTACTGAAGAATCAGAAACCCTCCAGCCTATAGAGAAAGCACCCCTCCCCTTTTATTGGTGAGGGAAGCCACCATTGCCAAGAAGGGGAGGCCCCAGGTCTGGATGCCTCCTGGAAGAACGGAATACTCCATGGAGCCCACATAGCTGCCCACCCATAACTTCTAGTGGTGTTTCTAGAGAGAGTTTACCATCATCCCAGAGGAGGCAGATAAACTGCAGATGTGGTGAACTGGTCAAACAGTTTTGGGAAAGTCTTGGGATTTCTTACAGCTTGAAGATCAACATTGCATAGATTAAATCTTAGCTTGGAGGATATAGATCAAAGTACTTAAGCAGAGGCAACTCTTGGCTGACCTTGATATATCAAATTTATGACTAGAAGAGACAAGGTACTAGCTTTCTATGATGCTCTGTGCCCAGATTCCATTCATACCAGATATGTTAGAAGTTCTGGGCACAGGGCCTGGGCATCGTCAATATTTTTTAAAGCCCTTTAGGGGATAGCAATGTTACTACAACTAAGAACCGGAAGACAATGAGCAGCAAATTTCATTATTAACCTTTCATTATTTTTTAAGTTTTGGCTCCTGGTGATGTGAGATGACTAATTTCAGAACTATGAAAATATTCAAGGAAAGCCACCTCCCCCCACACATACATGCCTCCCAATTCATCACCACAGTTTCTTTCTAGTGATGCCTGTACACTTCTAGGTATTTATTCATGTTCTCATGCAACTAAATAAACAGCTTAAGTTCACAAGACCACCAGTGATGGGATTTCTAGAAGAGCAAATACGGCTGACCACCAGTGGTCTGATTTTCTCCTATACTATTGCTCCAGCAGCATTGAAAACCTTTCAGGGATTGATGTCTGAATGGTCCCCTTTGGACCTGGTGAAAAGCCAGGTGGGAGTGGTTTTCTAGGTCACCATGAGAAACAGCATGTGCACAGGCTACACTTCCCTCACATAAACCACCCTACTTGTAAAGAGTGCCCATTGGCTTCATCTCTGCAATATGGCAGCTTTCCTGTAGGGATTACATAGAGAAAAGGGGGCCTGTGAAAATATGAAAAAGCCTGAAGTCAAGCAATCCAGACACAGGCCTCTGTTATCGTTGACATCACATTTTTTGAGATTTATTTTATTTTTAAAAATTATTTTATATAATGTGTATGAGTGCTTTGCCTGCATGTATATCCATGCACTATGTGTGTGCCTGGTGCCTATGAAGGACAAAGGAGGAAGCTGGATTCCCTGGAACTAGAATTATAGGCATTTGTAAGCTTCCATGTGGGTATTGGGAATTGAGCTAAATCATCTCCCCAGCCTGTATTTATTAAATTTTTATGTGTGTATGTATATATGCATATGGGTACAGGTGTCCTAAGTGTCCAGAAGGGAGTCAGATTCCTTGGAGCTGTAGTTAGTTATAGGAGGTTGTGATGTGGGTAACATAAAATCCAGTGTGGTTACTGGGAACTGATATATTTCAGGAGTGGTACATTCTTACTGCTGAGCCATCTCTCCTGTCCCATTGGCATCAAGTATTAGAGGATTTGAAGTGTGGAATTTCTGACTATCAGTTGTCTATTATTGGCACCTAACTATGAATATTAAAGTTGGGCACATTTTGCCACCTGAAATTTTATATCTGAATCTCCTAAGACAATATCTAGTAGGTCATAATGATCTCATAAAACTCTATAAGTCTCATTGATTTCCCTTGTATCTAGTAAACAATACAAATTTTGCCTTAATAAGGATGCCACTGCTGCCAATTAAATTAAATGACCACATATCTGAAATGGCAACCCATATTTTCTAGATAGTGTGGTGGTGGTTGTGTGTGTGTGTGTGTGAGAGAGACACTGGGAGTGGAAGGGAAGCACTCTCTATATTCTGAATTATCCCATGCTGGAATTGGATTCCCTTGGCTAGTTGGTCAGACTTCCCTGTCCTTCAGAGCATGTTGGAAATGATGACCATAATAAAGAGAGCTGACATTTATTGTCTTCTGACTACAAGTTGAGTAGTGCATTCAATTTTCTCACATTTGTACATCTCTTTATTCCTCTGGATAAGCCAATATGGGGGAAAGTACTATTCCCACATTATAGATGAGTAAACTGAGGCATGAAAATCAGGAGCCTCTCGCAATAAACAAAACCACCCTGACTCAGAGATGGTGGTGGAAAGAGCACACAGACTCTCTCCAGACTCTATGCCTCTGAGGGAAGCTTGGGCTGTTTGGTGATCATTCACTCTGGCCATCTGCCTCCCCCTCTGACATCACAGACAATGCTGCAGTCCAACAGACTGAGTCACTCAAGTGCAGGGTGGTACAAACCTGCCAGTCCCTCCAGGAAGCCAACCAACCCCTCTAATTCAGCCAGCCCTAAGTACCATGTGTCCCTTTGGCCCCACAGAACAATCTCTATCTCCAGGACACACTGAGTGAATGGTTATTTTATGTCCTTATCACAGAGACATGGTGTGTGTGTGTGTGTGTGTGTGTGTGTGTGTGTGTGTGTGTGTGTGTGTGTGTGCTCATATGTGTGTCTGTTTGCATGTGCATGCATGTGTGTTTTTAATCCCTCTTATATAGGTATAGTACCCAGTTTACTCTAACAAATATCTTCCTCACTAGTGTCTCTTGAGCTTTAAAGAGTTGAGAGTAGCTAGAGAGATTTCTGGGACAGGATATAGGCAAAGAACTGGGGAGACAGAGGGGGCTATGCAGTTTTACTCTCTCGTGCTGACCCAGCAGTGCTAGGGTGACTTTAGCTGGTGACCCATAGTAGATCTGAAGCTCCCTCTAACCTCAACCTGGAGGGGGTTTAATGACAGCTGTCCCTCTTAGAGTGTGCATGCCACATAAGGGTGGAAGAACTGTGTCACACACACATTTCCACCCAGGAGACATTGACAACTAAGCCCAGACCTTCCTATTTGAATTCTTCAACCCTCCCTATGAGAAGCAGTAGAGAGTTGAACTTACACTGGGTACATACAGAGGTGCATGCTTCAGATTTGAAGAACAACAAACCAGAAGACTGATCAATACAAAAGTGTGTGCAGAATTGCAGGCTTGAGTGATACAGTCATGTGTGGTGGGCTGGTGACATATTAATCTCCACCTGCACTCACAGCTTAAAGAATCAGGGCTTCACTAGGTAAGGGTTAGAACATTGGTGGTCCCTGACTGTAGCACATCCTCCCTTTCTTCTTCCTGCTTCCCCATGAGTTACTGTCTCCTTTCTTCTCTCTTCCCCTGCCTCTCCCTTACCTCTCTGTTTATAAATAAGAAGCTCAGCTAGGTCTTTATTTAGACAGTGAGAAGGAAAGATTCTCATTTTACAAGGAATCTTTTTCATAATAGAAAACCAAATTGAAAAAAAGCATCCCCAAGAGAATCATTGCAATTAGAGGACAGTTGCCGGTAACAGACCCAGCTGCTGCACACCCAAGGTTAGCATGAGTGTGACTCTAAGTCTTAGGATGGAGACATGGATTTCTGCCTGAACTTTCCTCACAGACAGCTATGTGAGCACAACAACTGGCTGATTTTGCTCCTGACAAAAGCAACTTTAAGCACTGCTCTCTGACTTCAAATTTCTACACACTGCTGTAGGACCGCTTTTGTTCAGTCTGAGCGCCACATCACAGGGCATTTAAGTGACATGCCATGAAAGGGTATCACCCCATTGTCAGGACATCCTCAATGTACTGGTGATTGCCTGTACTTTCTTCTATTCATCAATGATTTCAAACCCCTCTCAATACCCAGGACCTGAACATTAACCAGATTGATGGAGAAACTGTAAAGAGACTAGGAAAACATGTCCCCAGGGAAAGGGGTGACCATAGGTCACTTAATGCAGAAGACAAGAATAAACTGACCATGGAATATCCAATCACATTCAAATTAAGCATGCTGGTCTCGCCTAACTTAGTCTAGCTAGCATCACCATGCACTTTCGCTTGTCTTCACAGCACAGACAATAAAGCTACAACTGATTAACCCAAGTCATATTTTCCCTACACTAGAAAAGGCTCTGCCAAGTAGCTCCGGGAACAGCAACAATGAAAAGGAAGACTCCAGCTGCATACCTTAACCTCCTGATTGGTAAAGACCTCGACATCCACCACACAGGCGACCAGAGTGGAAACATCACAGTCCATGCTAGGGGCTGGCATTCCCCCCTTCGGAATTCTCAGTGAAGAGTTAGGCAGCTTCAGAGTTGGGAGTGAACGGGCACGTCTGGATGGGTACTGTTGTGGCCAGGTCCTGGGGCTGCCCTGCTCCTGCGGAGTGGGTTGCAGAGCTGGTTGGAGGCTCAGACACCTCGAGCCTGCTCCCGCTGCACGCAGCGTCTGAGGCAGCACAACAGAGTAAAGAAGGGCCCGGCTGGCTCTCTCATGCCAATGACATCATCATAGAGACCGACACAAGCCGAAGCTGCCACCCCCCTTCCACAAGCCTTTTATCTCTAGGCAGTGCAGTAGAGCAAATTGAACATGATTACGTGCTAAATCTGAACTCGGACTAAATCAATTCAGGCAGTGTTCGTGAGGAACTGAGTCATGGCTGTTGTTTCAGCTTATGTCTGCAAAAAGCAGTGGAGGAAAAAAAATCTGACAGCAGAGGTTCTGCTTTGGGAGGGGAGGGTGAGAGCTGTTGGGCAGAGGAGCCTCCCTAGGTTAAGGTTTGCCAGGTTTCTGCCTGGGACGGTAAGCGGGAAGTTGGGGCATTTTGCAGCTTGCCTGGGCTCTGCTAATTGCTTCATGCCACTCAGAGTAGCCACATATGTTCTGGGCACCTATGTGCATGCCAGACATGGGCTGAATAGAAATCCATTAGTGGAGGGGGTAAGAGCTGGTTGTCAGTCATCGAGATAGGCTTCTGGGTAAGAGGGAAAAATTAGAGGTTTGTGCAAATTCTATTTGAGGCACGTTAAGTGCAGACCAGGGACTCAAAAGCACCCTTCGAAGCTCAGCATTCCAGGCTATCTCCAAGGTCATTCAGACCAAAAGCAGTCAGTGGAAAGGACTTGCAGTGGCTGTCGCACCCAGGGACAGATGGCAGGGTCTAATGGGTAAATCCATTCATGTGGGTCATTGTCACAGCCTCAGGGCTCAGCTTTGCCTGAGACTTTGAAGGGACACTTATCTTTACTTTCTCTTTGTCCTGATTGTGAATCCCTGAAGGGCAGGGTTGTGGCTGTCCTGAGCCTTGTGGAGTTCCAGGGACAGAGGATGGCACATGTGTAATAACTAAACCAATCAAGTGGGAATGACCTTTTGTTTGTCTGTTTGTTTGTTTTCATAGTAGGAGTGAGAAGGAACAATATAAGACTGCCTTAAACTGCATTAGTCACACAGGACTCAAGAAAATACACCAACACCCTACAGGATTTATCACAAATAGAAAGGAGCTGTATTTCTAGTGGCCAGAAGAGGATCATGGTTTAGAACAAACAGGTGCCTTTTCAGTACATCATTGGATAAAATATTCTAACTTTATCCACAGATGAGAAAGGTGGAGGTGGCATTTTAGACTGAGGGTTGACGTTTTATGCTTGGTTAAACTTTGAATGCCAGGATTTAATCAGGCATTCAAAGGTAATTCTTCTGCAAGTAGATACTGAGACTGAGGAAGTGTGTGTGTGTGTGTGTGTGTGTGTGTGTGTGTGTGTGTTTGCATGTTGTTCAAGCACTGTAGGAAATATATGTAATCACACATTCATAGAACTCAAATAGCACTTTTTGAGGATGAATGTGTACAATAGTTTGTACCAGATGTTCTTAAAGATTTTTTTAAAAAAACTAAGTTTCCACATCATCCAGGAACTTAAAATATGACACAGAGATGCTTATACAAAGCGGTAGTGATGATAGAGAAGTGGTCCAAGAAGCATTCAGTGAGAGCATTGGAAGAAGAGCAATGGATGCTGGATGTTTGGAGGCAGGTTAGGATGGAAAATGGGCACCAGGAACTAGGACCAGGCCTCTTCTCAGACCTTGACATATTGGCAAGATGTTGGGAGACTGGGGGATGAAGCGAGCTCCCCAGCTAAGAGACAGTGGCTGGAAAACTCCACAAGGCAAGGAAACAGTAAGACATTTGGGCTAAGTCTCATGGAAAGTTAAACGTGAAGCAAACAGGGAAGCCAGAACCCGATGCTGTAAAACCTTGAGGGGTCCTTAGTGTCTATCTGGTCAACCATGGAATATGTGGTAGTTGGAAGAAAAATGGTCCCCATATGCTCAGCTCATACATTGAAATGCTTAGGCACCAGGGAGTGGAAGTGTTTGAAAGAATTGGAAGATATGGACTTGTTGAAGGGAGTGTTTCACTGAGGGGTGGGCTTTGAAGTTTCAAAAACCCAGTGTCTTTCTCTTCTCTCTCTCTCTCTCTCTCTCTCTCTCTCTCTCTCTCTCTCTCTCTCTCTCTCTGCAGGCATCAGAATGTAACTCTCATCTACTGTTCCAATACCATGCTCCCCACAACTGATGATAATGGACTAAAACTCTGAAACTGTGAGCAAGTCCCCAATTAAATACTTTCTTTTATAAAAGTTGCCTTGGTCATGTTGTCTATTCACAGCAAAAAAGCAGTGACAAGAAAGAGTGTTAGGCAAAATTTCTAAGAAGGCCAAAGGGATCTCACATATGTAAATACAACAAACCTATGAAGTATATCCAAAACAAGAAGGATTGTGAACAGCAGCATCATCCACTTAAGAGGCTGAATAAAGTGGTATTTTTTCCCCACATCCCACGGAATACCTCAGAGTTTGCTTTAAGATTGCACAGCTGCAGAACTGAGGAGATGTCTCAGTGGGTAAGGAGTTTGCAGCACAAGTGTGAAGACCTGAGGTCAGATCTCCAGCATCCACATAAAACCTGGGTACCATAGTATGTATCAGGATCCCAGGTGCTGGGAGAAAAGACTAGGTGGGTCCCAGAGTCCTGCAGATGCTGATCTAGTGGAAATGGCAAGCTTCAGGGTCAGTGAGAGATGCTGCCTCAAAAAGTAAGGTGGTGAGTCATAAAAGAGGATACCAGAGATCAACCTCTGGCTTCTGGGGTGTCCACAATGGATAAGTTCACCACCACCACCACCCTCTCCCTCTCTCCCTCCCTCTCCCTCCCTCCCCCCTTCTCTCTCCATTTTAAAATAAAATAAAAATATTTCATAGCAGTAGTAACATGCAGGTAAATGTCTAAGAGTTGTCTATAACTAAAATTCTGATTTATGAGGTTTCTAATTTCTGTAATCTATTATTTCTAGGGTCTAAATGAATGCCTAACCTTTGAGGGATACCCCAACAAATATCCAAAATATGAGAAGATAAACACACATATGAATGCTAAGAGGTGAGCAGAAGAACCCTGCCCAGTAGAGCTGCCTCCTGAACTAGTCATCCCAGGGAGATTCTTGCAGAGGGATAAGCTTCTTCACATAGAAACTTGGACATCTTCCAATCTAGGACAGCTGAGCCAGGACACAGCTCTGTTCAGAAGTGTCCTTTCCAGGAGAAGTTGCCAGAACCTTCTGGAATTCACCCAACCACTGCTTTACCAGTGAGCATAGGGAAGGGCAGTGCACAGCATGACAGGGGCATCTTAGGAAGCACACTTTGCTTTGGTCAATAGAGAGACAGCTGAGCTGACATGCTCACTGCCATGGGGCAAGAGGAGCGGTGCACCTTTGACCCAGAGGTGGCCTTGGAAACAACTCCCACATCTGTTTTGTTAATGAGCACAGAAGTTCTCATTAACACTGAGGGTTATAAAAAAAAATGAGCTCCTTTTTTATGTCCTCTTGGATTCCTAAAGTTTCTTTTTATTAGAGTTTCAAACCCATTTAGAAGTAGAAAGGACACAATAGCAGGACTGCATGTTCTCACTGTCCAGGTACAAGAATGATTAACTCGGGTCTAGTCTTGCACCTACTGCTCTGAGTGATATCCCTGCACCAACAGTATCAGCATCACTTGGGGACAGATCCTTGGGTCCCACAATACTGAATCAGACATTTATCTGTTCTTTCATATGTCCTGAAGGTGATCCGTAAGTACATTTTGATCTTAGAGCCTAGCTTCTGGCCCCACCCACTTCCACACTCCAATTGTCTCAAAGCAAGTTCCCTGGGGCATTTTAGAGGTAAATATCCCAGTAGCACGCATCTCTATTACGGTCCTCTTTAGCAATCACAGTGTCTATCGTCACCCACTCAAAACAGAGAAAGGTGCAGAAAAAATTCTTAGTGTAGTTCTTGGTGGTCCTAAGTATCACAACAGTCTGTTCTCCAACTGTGCCATACTCTTTCACCTTCCCTTCCTCCTCACCCATCATCCCCTCTGGCTGCAGTTTCTTTTCCTCCCCTCCCCTGTAACTCTTTCCTTATTTAAACTGAGATCCAAATTATTGTGCCTCTCACAGCTCTTTTAGCCACACTGTCTACAGTTTTCTTCCATACCTCTTTTTTCCCTCTTCCTTGGGGCTTATTGTGTTGATCGTGAAACTGTGATTTGTCCCTTATAAATCCCTCCATCTGGGTTTTATTGATGAGTTATACACATTGCCGTGTGGTGAGTTTCTTCATTCCCTAAAGACCCTGTGTGTTAGACCCAGAGCTGTAAAACACTCAGGCTTGGGGAGGTTCCTCCATGAACCTTGCTGTATGCTGCAATGAGCAGGCACATACTGCTGGCTGGCTCCCTTTGTAATGCTAGGGGCCTTCAACCCAAATGCTAAATCCTGCTCGTGTATTCTTGATGGCATTTCTTTTTGTGTATTTCACAGCATGCTTTCCTATAATGCTCCAAAGATCATGCATAGTTTTTTTTAACTATATATAAACTTATGGATTAGACATTTTCAATGACTTCTAATCCATTACAGTTTGAGCTTATTGGTGTCCACACATCTCAACTGTGGCTGTTGGGAGTCTGATGGGCTTGGCTTCAGAGTCCTTCTAACAGATGCCAGCAGTCTTTGAGGGAGTACCGTGCCTTCTGTTATGACAAGATGTTCCAGTCCCATCTTGTTCATTTCCTGCCCCAGATAAGGGAGTCAGGCTTTTCTCCAAGGAGTCATGGTTCCATTTACTAAGTACTTCAAAATATTTTAAGATCGAAATCAACATAGCTCAAGATGCTCTTTGCACTGCACTGGCTATTTTTTTATAA